AATTAATTTCAGACGAAATATCGGTGATAAATGAATGTTTTTTTTTTATTTTCTTTGTTAAAGTTTCGAAAACATGTCCAAATTTTTCTGCGTTGAAAAATTTCAAGATGGCGACGAGGCACTCCTTCGCGCGCAACCATGTTTTTTAGAGGTGGTCAAACGGTGTACATAGTTTCTGGAATGTGAATGGTCTGAAACAAAAAAAAAAAATATAGTCATAAACTATATTGTATTGTCTTCGGTATGACCGAGCGTTTTTTCTCTCCTTGTTTTTGGCGTCAAGAAAAAAATTCCTGAATTTTTCGCTGCATTTTTGGACCCAAATTACGTGTTATTATTATTAATAATTATTGAACAAAATATTATAATGAAAAAATCGTCGGTCATACTGAAACTACTATTCCATAGAATATGTGTACCAAATTTGAAGTCGATTCATCGATTAGAATTCGAGATATCGTGTACACCGTTTTGAAAAACATAGTTTTGAGAAAAACGCGTTTAAAGTTTCGGTACTAGTTTTTTGAGTGAAAAATTGCATTTTAAGCGTCTTACCGTTAATCAGCCATTCCTGCGTCATACAGTAAACCTTCCACCTCGTGAAAATTCTCTTCGAGAGCCGATTGTGCTGTTCTTCTATTAATTCTTTCTTGTTTGGAGGTCTCGAACGACCGCTTGTCAGCAATCGCAATTCGCAGCTCATCCGCTTTCTCGCACATTTCGAAGGCATTTGGCCCAATTTGTAAGTTCAGGACGCCCATCATTTGTAGAATACTCTTGTACCCGTGATTAAAAATGCTTGCTGCAAAATACGATGCCACTTCCACGGTTTTCGCGCCACTAAATACTCGTTTTGGAGCAAACGACCATATCATAGCGTTGACACTCTCGTTGGCGTTTTGGGTGAATCCGCCGACACATCGCGATAATAAATTGTCGTTGCTAAGCTCCTCGTATATGGGAGTGAGGGCCTTTATAACATCATCGGTGAGAGCCGGTTTATGTTTGTAAACAGCGAGTTTATCCTTCGCTTTTGCTTGCTGCCAGGTGCACCAGCTGTCTTTCCCAGGCGGACAGTTATCATGCTGTGGTTTTTCATCGGTCGATGATTTATGTTTCAATGTTGCCCAGATTTCCTTCTTCATGTCCTCCGCGGAATTTGCGTGTCTTCGTATTGCCAATCCGTAATAAATGCTCAGCTCGTCAATAAGTTTCGCTGTCAGTTTGCCTTTTCCGCCGAGTCTTTTATCTTTTCTCAATTTCCGAAGCCTCGCCCCCATTCGTTTTTGTACATGGCCAACACATTCCTTTTTTATTATAATAAAATCGTCGCCATACGGATGAGATTCGCAAATTCCTTTAAATGTTTTGCAGTCTCCATCACCGACATACGCAGAATATTTCACGTTGTACAATTCCTCCGATCTTTTGAATATTTCTATGGCAGCGTCCACCTCCATTTTTCCGGCACTTCCCTTGTGATTGGCACTGCACTCCTCTGCATGAGTTTCCGACCATTCCTCGAATTCCAATATGTTTAGTTTTGATTTCCAATACTCGCACTGTTTACAATACGAGCATTTTACCACGAGGTCAAGCACTTTTCCAGTGTAAGAGCCGATCACAGTTGTCACGCCTTGCAGCGACGAAAAGCCGCGTTTCCTCCATGTTCCGTCGCCAGAAACTGTTAACCCTCTCAATTCGGCTCCATTTTCGGCATTTTCCGTTAACTGTTTTTCTTCAGCAGCGGCTACAGAAAACAGTTTAGTGGCAACGGCTTTCGACGCACAATGAATATTACTCATCACCTCATAATAAACGTTTTTGTGGAATATTTTCGGGAGGTCCATTAGACCACAGAACTTTTTAATGCCATCGTAACCGATTCCAAGGAGTCTCATAGCGAAAGTGATGCGCCTGTTGATTTCGTACGCAGTATTTATGAGCGGACAAGAGAGGATGTAGCGTGGTTCACAGTTGACGCAATTGACCACTAATTTGAATCCAAGTCCGCGAATACTTGATTCGGAAAAAGTAATATTCCCACCGCATTCTTTGCATTTCACCATTTCACTCAACGTTGAAAAAAATGGTAAAAACACAATCAAACGGTATCCGTAGCCAGCATTTACAGGCACTTGCACTTCCTATAAGTCACTTTGTAATTTTTTCGCGGAAGCACTCGTCGACGCGGTTTCCTTCTCGAACATATTTAGATTTGATGGTTTCGGTCGTTTTTTACTTCTTGAAGGTCGTCCACAATTTTTACGTGAACCCTTTCTCTCAGAATACGTACGCTTCATTTTCCGACAGTTTTCGAATTTCTGCGATACGTTCGACTACACGGGAAACGGCGGAAGAATGCTTCTGACTGACTCAAAAATATTTTTAACGACATCTGTTGGTGTCGTTAGTGTATTAGAGAAATTCAAAATTGAATGGTAAATCGTTATGCTGTATCCGCCGAACAGGTAACGATTTGCAGCAGATAGGCGTTTCGGAGCACTCCGGAGCGCTTGGGTAGGAGCTCGAAATTTCAATGAAAACGAGTTCTGGCAGGTATAAGACCTTTTGTCCCTTATTCTAGAGGGTTCAAAGGATTTTTTAAGCCAATAAAAAAAAATCGATTTTTTTGACCATTCCAAGGTAGACTAACCCCTTAAACAATTGTATATGAAGTAGAGGTAGAATTTTCTGGGGAATGCTATAAAGTGTATTATTTTTCGTTACCGATTTTTTTGGAAACCGGTTACGAAATTTTTCCAATTTCTCGGGAAATAATTGAATCTTAAGGAATTACATATGAAATAAAGGTAGAATTTCCCCGGGATTGCTATAAAGTGTATAATTTTTTGTTACCAATTTTTTGGGGAACCGGTTACAAATTTTTTGCACTTTTTCGGGAAGTAATTGACCAAATCTTAAAGAATTATATATGAAATAGAAGTCGTGTCAAAATTTTTTTAATTTTTGGAGGATAAGTTTAATTTTTTATTAATGGATAATTTTTCATTAATGAATTGATTTTTTTGAAACCGGTTACGGAGTTTCTCCAATTTTTTTAAAAGAGTTTCCGATTTTTGTTTAAAAAAATGTACGTGATTTCAAAATATAAAGTGGGGGTAAAATTTCCCTGTATATAAAACAGGGGTAAAATTTTTCGGGGAGTGTTATAAAGTGTATTTTTCGTTACCGATCTTCTGAAAACCGGTTTTTCTAATTTTTCCAATTTTTCGGGAATTAATTGACCGAATCGCAAAGAATTGTATATGAAGTAGGGGTAGAATTTCCCGGGAATTGCATTAAGTGTATAATTTTTCGTTACCGATCTTTTTGGAAACCGGTTCCAAAATTTTTCAAATTTTTCTGGAAATAATTGACCGAATCTCAAAGAATTGTATATGTTGACACACACATACACGCGCGCACACATATTATTTATTCATTAAGCCTAAATTTTGCTAAAATCACTCCTTATAGGTGATAAATTATCAAATACGGATGGGCTACATCTCGATACAAT